CAGATGCCACCTGGTGAAGGAAGGTGGTGCCTCTGTGACAGCCTGTGCACCTCTTATACCCAACATGGGAGATGTCTGAAGGTGTCTCCAGCTGCTCAGTGTCCATCTAATCCACCCAGTCAAAGCAAAGACCACCCCATTTATTTCAAATTGACTTTCAGAATTCAAATTCATTCAGCAGCTTTCCAAACTTCAGTGAGCAGAGACTAGTGGCGCAGCAATGTGATGCTATAAAAAGGCCTTTTTTAGGCTTTTCCTACAGTGTCTGCTGGGGAAAGACAACTCTTGGCAGCAGCTGCTTATATCTTATCCATCCTGGCTGGAGTCCTTTGTCCTGTTCTGTGCCTTGTGGTAGAGAAGCATCCCTAAGAGRTGGAGCCTGTCTCCTCGGGGCCAATAGTCCTCTTGTCCTGTAATGACCCTCCTGTGTGGGATGGGAGTGTCTTATCTGTGGCCATTGTTCATTCTTCCTGTCTCTTTCCCAATGGCTTTGTTGATTTAGCCTAACAGATAGATAGCAGTGCACAGTATCAGTAATGATGCTGGCTCAACATGCTGGACCAGCTGCACTCCCCAAGGCTTGGCTGAGTCACTTGGCCTTGGCCCTGGCCTGGAAAACCCTGGTGGTGGCTCAGGTGATCTCTCACTGTTTGCACAGCACAACAGGGGCTCAGCTTTCCTTTAACTACGCTGGACTGTCCCGTTGATAATTCTTCTACCCTCCCTCTTTTTCAGATCCATCCTTTGTGCTTGTGTGTATCACCCCTGGAGCAAAAACATCTTCTCCTACAGGGCTTGTAGGCTTGCATCTTCYCCTCTCACTGATAAATGACGCAAACTCTTGGGATTTTATGTTTATGGATTTACTGCTTAAGTCCCCCAGGGAGTGTCCCTTTTCCATTCTGTGTGAGGGTGAGAGACAGTGGTGGGGTAGAGGAAGAAGGATGCTCCTTCTAGATCCAGCTTCTGATTCCCTCTCATTTCTGCCTCTTTGGATATCATAGGAAGAAAGTCATCAYTGATCCCATGCCAAATAGTTCAGACTTAGTATGACACAGTGTTTGTTGGCTGTTCAGACCCACAATTATTCATGTTTTTCATGGTGCTCCTCTGAGTGCGTGGGCCTGGCAACAACTCTGAGCCAAGGCGGCTTCCGCCCACAGCACCCCCTTCCCCGAACACCCGTGGGGGTGTGCATTGGTTTGGGAATATCCTCTCCTGACTCATGGCCAGGGCAGAGGAAGGCTCATGAGGGASCATCTCTGGGGTTGGACTCCTCGCCCTGTACCCTGAGCTAATTGCAGAGGTGAGGCGCCCTGCCCTCCTGGCAGCACACTTTGGTGCTTGTAGAGAGCTGTTCTGGTGGGAAGGAGATGATGTGCTACTCTTGGCTGCTAGTCCTGCTGTTTCCTCGGGATTATCTCTTGATTGCCTGTCTTGGTCTCTGTATTTGCCTGCCCAAAAGTGAGTGCTGACAGAATAAGCTGGACTGAGTTAAGTGGGAATTCGGGGTGAATATGACAAGGGAAATCCCCATCTATGAGGCCAATTCACAGAGTCTCCAGCTGAGATAGTCCCTGCTGAAGATGTGAGGCTATTCCTGCAAAAATATCTTCTTGTTCCTGCAAGAATATCTTCTTGGGGTGGGATCCCACCACTGATGTGCAGGTATGGACCTCAGGAACCCATATTGGCAGATGGTGGCCCTTGTAAAGGGCTGGCTCATGCAGTGATCGTGCTTTGGGGCCTGTGCTGACAGTGGTTTACATCCCAGCGCTGTTGGAGAGAATTACTTGAACTGCATTTCCTCACTAGCAGGACTAGAGTATTTTTGTTTCTTTCCTTTTTTTTTTTTTTTTTTTTTTTTTTTTCCTTTTTTTTTTTTTTTTCTTTCCTTGACCATGTGTGAGCCTTCAACTGATTTTGCAACCAGTCCTACATAGCAGAATGATTGTGTAATTAACGGGAACTGGTGCAGCCCTATCTCTCTGGGACTCCAGCCCTCTTTCCCACAGTGATGGAGGCAGACCTGCTCTCTCCCCCAGCACCTCACCTTCTTTGCTTTCCCTGCTGCTGGGAGAGCTTTGGGAAACTCCAGAGCCACACAATGTGCTCCTGGATGCTTCAGGCACCCCAGTTCCTGCAGTGGGGTGGTGTTCTGCTGCAGAGATTTATGGTGATTCTCCTAGCTTAAACTGCGCCAAAAAATAACAGATTAATTAATTCTTTGTTTTTCTTCCTGAGTCCACTGTGCTCCTATCCCCTTCCTGGTGGGAGCAGGGGGTTTGTTTCTGTGCAAGGATCCAAGCAGCTGTGGGACTGATGCTGACCTTACTGTTCCTGGATCCATGGYGTGACTCATGCTGATGCACGTGGCAGTGAGAGGCAGGAGAGGAGAGGGACCCAAAGTGCCTCTGCACAGGATTTCTCCTGCACTGCTCCTTCTCTGCGGGCACATCCTTTGTGCTTTTGAATAGTGGGTTTAAATGCTCCCTGCCCCACAGAGATTGGGATAGTGACTCTGTCCTTGTGACTCTGTGCACAGTTCCCTCCCTTCGTGCAAGCTGTGGGTCCTGCTCTGCTCTCCTCACCCTGAGATCCTGCAAGATCCTGCTGATGCTGGGGGAAGGATGAGTTTTCTTGTCATATTTAATATCTTTCTCAAAGATGAAGATGAGGGAGAAGGGCAGGAAGCCTTCCCCAGAGGTCGAGTGGGTCAGCCACCCTGAAAGGTTTTTTCAGGCAGAGTTCAGTACCAGGAATTTCTCTCCCTGAGTGCAATACAGAGCTCAGCCTGCTGCCTTTTGCAGTTAAGGGACCCCCTGTCTCACTCTGGTGTTTCCAAATTATCTTAGCACCTCAGAGCAGTAAGAGCTGATGTCATGACCTCTCTCTGGTCCTGCTTTTCATCATCCAAGCATGGTTTTAGTCAGCCCTGTTCACTGAAAGCCCTGTCTCTGAGAGGCGGTCAGTCCTGGAACTGGGGTGGAAATCAGCCAAGTGCTTTCAAGACGAGGTGCTCATGCTGGCACCCCCAGGAGTCAAACTCTGTGTGGAGCCAAGGCTCTCTTCCTGGGGTGATTAATGGCTTTTCCCTCCGCCCATTTCCACAGAGAATCTCACCTCTGACAGGCAGCAGTGTCCCACTGTCTCCAGTAGGCTCTGCCTTCTGGTGGCAGTGGCTGCCTTCCTCCTTGCCTTTCCTCAGCTCCGTGTGGATCACCTGGCATCTCTGAGTGAACAAAGAGTTCCATTCAGCCCCCGGTTGTGGCTGGCTCATGGCTGCTAGATACTTCTCTGCCTGCCAGGGCTCCTTCGAGCTGCATCTTTGTCTGGCTCGGACCATGGGAATCAGTGGCAGGTTTGGGCTGATTCTCTCTGAAAAGAAAACCCTGTAGGTGCACACTTCACTTCAACTCTGGCCAACTGTGGCAAAGTCAGTAGGAATGTTCACATGCTCAAACCTAATTACCCCTGCAAGCACTTGCAGGGTTGGGACAAGCTCCTTTTAAGCAACAGAGATCTTTTGTGGTGGATCTCATGCATCTTCTCACCAAATTTAGAAAGACAWATATGCAGTGTGATCTCATCTGAGCAGCCCACAGAGTGAAGCCTGCACCAATGTCTGTGTTTTGTGGTTTTTGTTGTTCACAATCRCTTAGGCAATGCTCAGTAAATACCTGCAGAAAAAAAAAAAAAATAAGCTGTTTTGAAATGAAGAGACAGTAGAAAAGAGGGCAGGCACTTCCTTTTYATTGAGATTTCCTTAGTGTATTTCATGGGCAACTTCCCCATTTCAGCTTACCAGGCATCAAGAAATATTTCTGCAGAAGTGATTGAAAGGAAATACGTAAAAGAGATGAGAGGGGCGGAAAGGAGAAGGAAGGTGAGGGTCTCAGCAGTTTGGTTCCACCATAACTGCTCCCATTTTGGAGACAGCCAGAGGAACATTCCCATTTGCCTTGGGGAACATGGGCGGGCCGTGCCATGAGCACCCTCGTGTACAAATACAAGGCAGGGCTGGAACTGGCAAGGTACAACTGCAGGCACCTGTTGGTTTGGCACAGTAGACCTCAAGATCTCACCCCCACAAAACAGCACATGTGGACCAGGAGGTGGAGGTTAGGGAAAAAGACTCTTTTGTTTTTTCYCCCCAAGTCTACTCCCATGAGGAAGTAGCATGAAGAACAATCATCTGAACGCATGGCAGATGGGCATTTTGTTTTAGCAGGTGGCAATGTTAGTTCTTCATCAAACACTCACGCGCTTCTTTAATCTCCCAGAATATCAGTGTTTTATGGAGGCAAGCCAGATTTAGCCACATTTTTTTCCTCTTGTCCAATTTGATGGCTGGGAAAACTGAGGCACAGGCGAGGTGTTCAGGTAGATGAGGGGAAGTGTTTGAGAGTAGAATCAGGGTGCAGGCTGCTTGCCTGYCTGAGGCTGCAGCTCTATGGCTTTCCCCAAAATCCAGCTGTTATCTCCATCCCAGGAGAACATTTTTCTCTGGTGTGGCATTTTCCAGTGCAAAGCCCCTTTCGTATTAATCTGACTCTTGGCTCACCTTCGGACGTGTGGGGACTGTTTGGAGGTTGAGACCTTCACGCAAGACTTCTGCTGTGAATGGAGCGGGAGTGATTTACAGACCATTGAGTGCAAGTTGCCAACCTGGATTTCTGCTCCCGAGTTGCTTTGTGTAATCAAAAAAGCAGTGGGAAAAGCGGGGGAAAAAAGAAAAAAAATAACAGAGGGGGGGGAAGGAGGAGTGGGCTGGAGAGGATGAAGGGGGGAAAGAAGAGAGTTAAAGCCAGGAGAGAATCCCCCTGGCAGGGGAGTGGGGAGCGCCGGGCTTTGTGCTGCGGGGCCCGCCGGCGGCTGCGCTCCCAGAGATTCTCCCGTGACACTTCCACGAGGCAGAGGGGGAGGAGGAGGAGGAGGTAGAGGTGGAGGTGGAGGAGACAAGCCGGGGGTGTGGAGCAGGGGGGGCTAGCAGAAACAAAAGGAAACCAGCTGCAGAACTTCCTGAAGGCGGAGAGGGGGCCGCGGGAGCGCGCAGTGCCGGGCTGCTGCCTGCGGCGCTGGGGAGGGGGCGGCAGCGGGACCCTGCCCGCCGCGGCTCGGCCACCATGACCAGCGCGATCCTCAGGAGGAACTCCAGCAAGCAGGGCCTGCAGAACCTCATCAGGTGAGCGCCCACCTGCCCGCGGGGCTCCGCTCCCSGCTCCGCTCCGGTGGATGTGCCCGCACCGGGGGGCGCGGTGGGGAACGCCGGGGGGGAAAGGGAGCGTGCTTCCGATCGACCATCTTCGCGTCCCTTTAAATGGGCTGAAATTCGTCCTTACCCTGCTTTTCCAGCAGACCCGATGCATTGCAAGGAAGGATAATAGATAACCCTCCCTCTCCTCCCCAAAAGCTGTATGAGAAAAGCAGATTTGAACTTACTGATGGCTTTTCCAGGAGCTCCCGACTGAAATAACTGAGCACAACTGTGCTGTGACATTCACCTGAGCGGCTGGTTTCCCCTCTCCGTGCAAGGGATGTCTCAGTACGTGTCTTTTTTGTGTCCCCTGAGTGCTGAACGCCTCTGCCTAGAAAAAGGATTTTTCTTTATTTCCCGTAGGAAAACTGTGCRCGCTGTGATGTGCGTTTTTAATTCAGGGATCAGTAAAGGGCCGGATCTTCCCAGGGCTGTAAGCTGACACTGCTCTTTTTTTCGATTTAATTGATCACAATAGTGCTTTGAACCTTTCTCTCCGAATATAATTGCCAGTGCAGGGAGGTGGATGGCTCAGTTGGGTTTATTCCCGTTTGTCAGCCGGCGCTGAGCCGGGGAGGACGGCTACATTGTGTGCTGGCTTTGGGATTCCCTACCATGCGGCCACTGTGCTCTTCCCTGGGGTCTGGAATTGCCGCTTCCCTCCATGGATCCCTGGGATCCATCTGTGGATGATGCTGGTGTGCCATGCTGATGGCTCTGACTGGGCTGAAGAGAGGCAGTTCTCCCCTCTTCATATTTAACTGAGCAGCTGGATGGGTGAGGAGTGGAATTAGGGAGTGCTGGACTCGCATTCTGTGGCTTGGGTGCCTCTCAGCTCCCGTGTGTTTGCTGTGTCTGCTGGTCTCCAGCTGAGGGGTGGGGGATGTCGTGGTGGGGTTTAGTTCACCAGGCATTTTCCAGTCAATTTGGGATCTCTGTGACTGGTGATGCAGCCTCTAAACCTCATCTCTCAAAGAAGTTTCTTGACTCGGAAGGGAGATGGGCGCCTGCAGCCCGTCCAGTCCCTAACACTTTCTTCCCTTCTGGATCCAAAAAAGCTCCCACTGGTTGCACAGCCCCTGGGTTGGAAAGTGGGCAGGAGAAGCTGACTCCTCTCTGTTCACCTTTTGTTTGGCCTGTTGGACCCATTTCCYGGTCTCAGCCCAGGGGGACTGGGAGCTGGGTTACACATCCCTGTTTCAGAACAGGGCTTTGTCCGGGGCTCGTGAGGGGTAAGGAAACCTCTGTGGGTGTGCAGAAGGCAGGGATGGGCTCGGATTTGGGGCCAGCTGGTACTGAGGAGGGCCAGGCAAATGAAYTGGCCTTCAGTTCATGCTTACAGCTGGGTGGCAATTTATTTTGCAGGGTGACAGATGGGGGGAGCAGGGGGAAGCCCGTGTGCTTCACACAGAGGAAAGGGGTGTCCTAAGAACTGTCCTCAGCACAAAACCCAGCGGTGTATTCCTGTCCTGGATGACGTGTCCAAGTTCCTCCTGCTGTGGACCAGGGACTTTTGGTGTCCCAGAGGCTCATAGGGGCTTTTTTATGAAGTGACATTTTTCCTACTGCACTTGAGGTTTAGCTTTGGGGCTGTGTTGTCCAGTCCCGCTTACAGATGAGGAGTGGAGTGGGATGTGTGAGATTTCCATGGCTTMCRCACAAAGACCCTCACTCATACTCAYAGGATTCAGCAGCAGAACAGGCAGGATCTGCTCCACACCATAACCTAAACACTGTAGCCTACTTGGTAGTGGTATTTTTCTCCTAGAGCAGTTTTTCCTGGAGATCCTGAGATTGGCCCTGGGGCTGGCTCTGCAAGCCCATCTACCTTGGCTGCAGGAAGAAGCTTCTTTAGAGAATGGCTTGAGGCTCCTGGCTTGAAGATACGTTGCTGTCAAGATTGCTGTGCTCTGCTTTTGTCTGTCCCAAGGTGACTGTCACAGAGTGGTTATGCTGTGTAGATCCTGGGCTCTTCTGGTGTGTCTGAGTGCTTTGGAGACSTGGAGCACACGAGTGAAAACAGCTGCTCAGAGCTGTATTTGCAAGCACTGGGGGTTTCAGTGGTGTCAGGATTTACCTGGCTGCTCCTGCTGCAGGGCATCAGCGGGGATAACCAGGGAATTACCTTCTCTGAGCAGTGCTTAGCCACAGGAGCTGCTTGCCAGCTGTCCAACAGCTGGGTCGAGGGTTCCTGAGCTGAAACCAGTGTAAGTCCTGTGGATTTGGGGTTCAAGAGCTGAGTCCCAATGCTTTAAGCATCCTGCCTTGTGCTTGATACAAAACCCAACATCTCAGACAAAGGGGCCCACATGTGAAGCATCACCCAAACATCAGTCCCAGGAGTCAGATTTTCTTGAAATGACTTTTCCACTGACTGCTGACAGGCTCTGCTCCGGAGTGGTTTGGTGTGCTTGGGAGCACTGGGACTTGTTGGAGATTTCCAGAGGCTGAAGCACTGAGGCAGCACTCTGGGGAACATCTTTCACCTCTGCCTCACCAGGAGGTGGATTGGAAAAATTAGCCCTCCTTCTTCCTCACTGGCTTTGCAAATGGTGCAGGCAGGGATGTGCCATTTACATCTGAAAAGTAGGAGGCTGAAATGAGCCCAGGGTTATGACTTGCAACTGCAGAGCACGAGTGGCTGAGTAATTACCTGTGAAAGGTATGAGAAGAATGGACCATTGCAGGGCTATCTGCCTTCCCTGCTTTGCCCCGTGGTCCCAGACACTCCCCTCATCCAGCATAGTTTCTCTATCAGGCTATCACTGGGGAAATATTTCTCCCTTTGTAGCACGTTTACAGCGATGATCCCTCACACGCCCACAGGGCTCTGTGTTTTATTAAAGYCCTCTCCAAACACGAGCAGCTTTATCTTGTTATCACGATCTCTTTTTCCTTATCCTTCTAATGAATTCCTATAAATAAGATAGGGATCCAGCACCTGTCATGTCGATTCACTCAGTTCATTATCTGCTCCTGCTGGAATTTTACTCTCCCTCTATTTATCGAGCCTCAAGTGTTTCACAAAAGAATATGGCTGTTTAATTAACCTACAAATCAGCCTCTCTGTAAAGCAGCTGTGCCGCTCCTTGGAACTGGATTATTGGGCCTCGTGGTTGACACTGCTCCCCCTGAGTGGCTTGCTTTTTATCCAGAATGGGGTGCCATTAGCAAGTGAGCTGCGATTTGTTTTTGGGCAAAAGAGACAATGTTCTTGCACTCTGCAACACCCCATTTCCTCCCAGCACAATGGGGACCTGGTCCACAACAGGGGCTCCAGGGCATGGCTGCTGCAKGAGCAGCAAATAAACCAGTGTCTCTAATTATGTCTTTTAACCCGTAGAGTCTGAAGTGCAAATAATGCCGTAGGAAAAGGGGGCTGCATCCTGAGGGTGAAAAAGCTCAGGGGAAGAAAACAAGTCAGAAAATTTGATCACGGGATAGAGCAAATTATTCACTCTGTAGGATGGGATTTTTKCTTTGTTATCTTTTGTGGAGTCRTCAACATGGGAAACCARAATGTGAGATCTGAATCTCACATTCTCTGTGTTTTGGCCTGCTGTACATGATGGGATGCTTGCCACCTCCAGATGATGCCAGCACTCATGTCCTGACACCCATGAGGTGGCTGCATAGCCCCTTCTTTGTCCATAAAACACGTTACTGTGTTTCCAAGCAATGCTCTTTCTGATCCTTAGAGTTCCTCAGCACTAGCTCAGAGAAGATTCCYTGAGCTCCTTGAATTTTGGTGCATGTCTTGAGTGTAATATTTAGTTTGATCAGGATATGGGGCTCTGCCCAACTCTGCGGGACACCGTCCTTTCTGCTTGCATTCGATGTTTCCCAAAGCTTTCCAGGATGTGTCCCAGCAGGGAAGACGCTACTCCAAGTATTTCTGTCTTGACCTCGTGAGTGCTGAGCTGGGAACACGGAGCTGAAGCACTGGGGAGGGTTGGATGGCGCTTTGAAGGGGAAGAACATTTTTGGTGGGGTGGGGGTGTGTGTGATTGATGCCAAAACGTGGTCTAGGCACTGTTTGTTGCTTGGGAGAGAGCTACTGCCTCCAGGGGCTATTGCAGGGCCACTTTGCTTCAAATCCCTGGCTCTGGATAGGTGCAGGGAGCGAGGAATTCTTGCTGTGAAGAAGTGGGGCAGCTTTGAGGGGGAGATGGGGAAACTGAGGCGTGCAGGAATGAGCCAGGAGCAGAACTGTTGGATGGAAAGAGGAGGGAGGGATAGGGAGTGCAGGGTACACCAGGCCTTCATCAGTTTGATTTGCACTGTGCAATGCTGCCTCAAAGTGTCAYGAGGAGCAGGGATTGCCCACCACAGTGCTCCCCTTCTTGAATCTTCCCTATTTCCATGATTTAGTGACCTTCATGTTTTTATCCCTCTGTGGTCCATCACCGTGGCCAGGGCAGAGCTGACGGGCGCCTTTGCAGACCCCACAAGCGGAGGGCGGATGGGAGGGGAGGCATGAGCAGAGGCTGCTGGCAGGGAGGAGCACCCAGGAGAGCACTTTGGGCCAGACTGATGGCATGCCTGGGGGATTTCCACATCCCAGTGCGGCTTCTATGGTGCCAGCTGCTTGCACCATGTTTTGCAAGCCGGGAGGGGCCGGGGGATTTGCAGCCCAGCTGAGCTGTGGGGCAGAGGGAGCGTGAGGGCTGAACCAGTGCCTGGGGGTGAGTCCCTCCCTGGGTGCCTTTTGGGGTGCCCACCCTCAGCTTTCACTCCAACTCTAACAGCTCATCCTTTCTCTCCAGTTGAAGCAGCTCATCTGTCCCCTCTGAGTACTCCGTGGATCCATTCCCAGATTTTCCCGGCCCTGGGGTTTATTTGGCCAGAACTCCACCTACCACTGACCTTTCCCAGAAATCAGCCGATGGGTTTTGTTTGCCTTTAGCCTGGCCTGACTCAGATTTTTA